TAGAGTTCAAAATAAATTCAGCAGGCCTCTGGTTCAGTGGTTCCCCGAAATACATCTGAATCAGTGGAAAGCTTGTTAAAAATATAAGTGTCCAGGCCCTGCCCCTCAGCTACAGAATTCAAATTTCTGGCCTTGGAGAATCTACATAAATCTAGATAAATCCAATAAACCTAAACAAATCTCTGCCACTTACTAGAGTTTATTGAAAAAAATTAATTTATTTGTATTTCCAGGAGAATATCAACCAGAGGGGCATGGGTTGGGGGAGGATGGTGGAAAGAAGCAGAAGGGACTAGTCAAGGAACAAGTATAAATGGCCCACGGACCCAGACAGCTGTGTGGGGTTTGACTGCGAGAGCAGGGTGTGGGACTGGGTAGAGGAGGGCAAGGGGGGAAAAAGTGGGACAGCTGTAATAGAATAACAATATAATCTTAAGAAAAAAGAAGGGGGAGCATAAAAGGTGAATTTCAAAGTCTCTGTACTTCTAAAAATTGAAATGTGTTGTTGGAGGGGGAGAGGCCATAGAAACCAATGTCGTCAGAGTCCTACTGTTTAGAACACTCCTGTTGCTCCATGTTGCCAAAGACCTGGGCTAACCTTCTGGGACACACTGTAGGGAAAATGGGGCTTCCCAAGATAAAAGCAATTAATTATCAGAAGCTGGGTATGTTTCTTGGGAAAAGGCAATTGAAATGTGGCTTTGACACAAATAAACTGCTTCAGAGGTGGAGTTTGTAGCTAGGTACTGCTCTCCTATTTTGTTCTCTTACTGACTCTGATCATGTCCGTTGGGCAATACCTGTGTGGTCCCACCTGTTCTACCTGTTGGCACACTGCCTGGGAGAGGCTGGGGAAAGGTAGGGATGCTCACTCTCATGGTTCCCTGAGTAAGTTGGTCTGGGTGTAGCCCACTCCCATACTACTGTTTCCTGGGATCCCCTTTACAAAACATACCTGTAGCAGATGTTTTGGGTGTCCTGCCTAGATCCTCCTGACCAGCTGCCATGTGTGTTGACTGTTAACAGTTCATACCTGCACCCGTCTCAGGATTATCCTTGGCTGGGAGCTCCCTAACCTAGAAATGCCTCGTTTTCCGTTATGCCTCCTTTAGCTAATGAATCAATTCTTGATTGCTTCATAATGGAGAATGGTATTTAGAAACCAAAGTCTGGGCCCTGGGAGTGCTCATTCCTGTTGGGGAGTGACTGTTTCTAGACTGTCTCAGTGGACACAGCTAGGAACTATACGTGTGGATAGCAACTCATGCCTATATACATACATAACCACGTTCATTTCTGATCCTGTCTTTATATATACAGGGTGGGGCAAATGTAGGTTTGAAGTTGTACGTGAAACACCATTTATTCTTGTGTTATTATTTATTCATTATTGTGTTATTTTTCTATACAAACCACTCTAAACCTACTTTTTCCCTACCGTGCATATGTAAATACCTGTGAATTTTTACTCCTTACTACCACTATGATCCACAGAGTCCATTCTTGCCTTTCCTTATTTGTGATTTCTTTCTCAGACAGTGAAAACCATGGTTCCTGTTATCTATAATATATTTACTTATTTTGTCAACCTTGGTATACATGTAAGTAGTTCCAGAACTGCTAACCGATACCCCTCTGAGAAATAAATTTATCAACTAGAGTTCAGCATTTGTAGATAATTCTTTTCATCTTTAGCTTTCAGTTTCCAGCCAAAACACTATTTTCCAAAGTTCTTTAGAGTTTCCCTGGCTGGTGTGGCTCAGTGGATTGAGCCTGCCAACCAAAGGGTCACCGATTCAATTCCCAGTCTTAGGCACATGTCTGGTTCGCAGGCCAGGTCCCAGGTAGGAGACACATGAGAGGCAACCATACATTGATGTTCCTCTCTCTCTCTTTCTCCTTCCCTTCCCCTCTCTAAAATAAACAAACAAACAAACAAACAAAGTTATTTAGGGTGGCTCCTTTCTCACTCCCTCAGTGTAGTTATATGAATCATTTGTAACACAGTTCAATTCCTTTGTCACGGTCCATAGTCCATTTTAGGTACCTCTCACAACTTGGTAAACAGTTTACAATTTACATACAGTGAAATTCACTCATCATGACACACAGTTCTGTAGGTTTTAGTAAATGCAATGGGTTGTGTATCATGGCCACCACAGTTCCATATAGAAAAGTTCCATTATCACACAAATTACTTCACATTGCCCCTGTACAGCCAACCCCTCTTCCCAAACTCAACCTCAGGCAACCATTAACCTGTGTTCCCTCTCTGTAGTATTTTTTCCTAGAGTGTCATATAAGAGAAACCACACAGGATATAGCCTTTTGTGTCCAGCTTCTTTCATTTAGCAAAATAACTTTTGGTTTTATGTATCAGTGGTTACCTTGTGTTTTACTGTGGAGGAGTATTTCATCATAAAGATATATGATTTGTTTGGCTGACAGTGACCAGAGAGGAGAGAGGAGGGAATTTCAGGGGAAAAGGGGAAGGGTTTGCAGGAATAAGTATAAAGGACACATGGACAACAACAAGGGGGGGGTGGAAACGGGAGGGAAGTGGGGAGGGCTGGGGGGTGGGCTGGGATGGGAGTAAAAGGCAGAAAACATACTTAAACAACAATTAAAATAAAAATAAAAAATAAAAAGATATACAGTTTGTTTAAACATTTACATGTTGGTGGACAGCTGGGCTGTTTCCCATTTTTACTGTTGTGAATAAAGTTGTTATGCACGTTCACATACAGGTCTTTCTGTGGATATATGTTGTCATTGCTTTTGAGTAAATGATTAGGCGTGGGATTGCTGGATCTTGTGGTAGATAAATATTTCACTTTGTGAGATTCCTTCTCCTTTTATTCTGCTTTCCCAAAGTCTAGTAGCAAGGAGAGCTCAAATAAACTGTGAAGTGTCAACTGGGGAGGGAAAAGAAGGAGTGGTGGGCTGTTCTGATGTGGCTCAGATGGGGCTGGTTTTGCAAAGAAACAAGTCTGGGGAGGGGATGGGGATGAGCAGATATAAGGAGGCAGCATAGTTCAAAGGTGAGCCCACTAGTTTACATCAGAGCATCTCGACTTACCTCTGAGGTTCTATGCTTCCTAGTCATAAGATTGAGAAATTAACATCTTAACATAAATATGTGAAATGTAGGCAATAATATTTACCTTTCATTAGGTGGTTTGTGCAAGTATTTTCTAAACCAAAAGATTTCAGATTTTGGTGTTAAATTTAGGGCGAACACAGTAAATGTCAGCTCCTAACCATCCTGGTTGGGGCTGAGGGTGGGAGTGTTGCTGGCGATGGTACAGTGGATTTTTCTCTTTATGTTATGTAACTCAAATATTAGACTTTTAACAAGATAGTATGTAAGTGTAGTGGGGATCAGGCCATTCTTGATATCAGGGTACAGACTCCTTTAAGAGTCTGATAAAAGCTAGAAACTCCCTCCAGAAAATGGTCCCTTCCCCACATACTTTTAGAAAGAGTTCATAGACTCCTTGAACACCGCTCACGGACCCCAGTTTTAAGAATGCTGATTTATAGAAAGCAGTGAACAAAAACATAAAAATCTAGTTTGCCTTTATAAAAATAATTCAATTATAGTTACTTATACAAATAACTTATATTCCCATACCATGTGGTACAGATATATTTTACTTATATCAGATTGACTTTCCTATAAATTTGATATGGTTATAAAACTAAACTGTTGATGCAGTCTCCATATTTATCATTCGTTGTTCATTTGTTACAGTGCTTGCTGTCTGTTTACAACTTTAAAAGGAAAAATGAGAGAGAATGTTTCTTAAGAGCTAGTATCCTGCCTCCATGGTTTCATCTGTTGAAGTTATTATTCTCCAGGTTGCAAACTGTGTGCTGTAATAGAATAAACTGGTAGGTGGGAGGCTGCAAGGCAGAGTGGCAGGTGTTCAGGCTTCAGAAGACAGACCTGGGCTAGCATCCCAGCTCCTTCATCACTTACTAGAGTTCTACCTTAGCAAGCTCTGGCCTTCACTAACTTCATCAATAAGTGGGAATAACAATAACAATTTAGGGGGTTTCTATGAAAATTAGGGACAATGCAAACAAAACGCTCAGGCTGTGTTAGATGTTAAATAATGGTGCGAATATTATGGTGAGCCCTTTGTGTTACTAAGGCAGCAGCTCTGCTGCCCCGGGGTTCCCATTGCAATAAAATTAAAGTGGCGTAAGAGTCCTGATTTCAGAGGACAACTGCTTATTCTGTTTGGGGAAAGTAGCAAATGCCAAAGGCTAAAGACTGCTGACACCACCTTAGGGAAGCCTGCTAGACAGGAGGTTGTGAGGTATCTGGCCTTTGCTAGTCCATTGAAGCGTTACTTCTGAATGACACTTTGTTCGCTTTTCAGGAAGCCAGTGCACATCTAAGGTCTTAATCTGGAGCTAACCCATGCAGGGGAAAACCCCAGAACTGCTAGCTTCCTTCTTTTTTCTTCCTCTGAGTTACTAAATACAAGGACTAACCAATCTTCTGGCAGGGTTTTTTCTTTTTCTTCCAAGAATATATCTTCATGTTTGTATGAGTGTCATCACCTTCTCTGACTTCTTTGGAAAGAATAGAAACATTACGCAAGTCACACCCACCGATTTTCAGGCCAAAGAAACGAGCATTCCGCGGAAGTTAGGGTGGTGTGATGGCAAAAGCAGTGGTGGGGAATTAAGGAATCTGGGTCTGGTCCCCGCCACCATGTATGAAAAGGACCAATGGCTCTGCCTTAGTCTCATTTGTAAAGTGCATCAAGTCGGCCTTGGGAGTGGGTGAGCTTTGGTCTCACTTGTGATAATCGGTGGTCCCAGGAGACCCCAGCTGGAGGGCGCTCCGACGCCAGGCCTTTCAGGGACTACTCTGTAAATCGGTTTCCGCTCCGCGCTAGGAACCGAGGATTGCGCGCGCAGCTCTTCCACCACCTCCCGAGCCCAGCGTCTCCGTTGCCAGGAGAACTGGGAGGGGCGCGCTTTCCGGCGCAGTCGCGGCGCCTTGCGGCTGTCATGGCGGAAGCTGTCTGGAACACTGACACCGGGGAGGCTGTCTATCGCTCCCGGGACCCCGTGCGCAACTTGCGCCTCCGGTAGTCGCATGGTCCCAGAGCCCCGGGCTTTTATGTTCTCAGACATAGAGAACATAAAATGTTCTCTCTTTATCATTCGGGCCTGAACTTCACCTCTCAGTGTTCGGCGGCCCCCACTTCTGCTTACGGTCCCCTTCACTGCCTCCGCGGTCTCCCTCTGTCTCCCCCTTTCCTGCCTGCACCCTCCCCACCCACAGCTTGCAGACCCACACAAACCCAGATTCCTCGGAGCCTGTGTCCCCAGGACACTCCTGCACCCCCACTCTTCCCCTTAGGACCTGGCGCCCCACCACCCCTCAGTTGTGTGCACCCTGCACACCGTGGTATTGTTTCCCCCATTTTTGCTTGGTGTTCATCTCCAGGCTGTGCGTCTGTTAACGAATATTTTGGGCTTCTCTTTTCTTGACAGAGTCCACTTACAAAGAATCACATCGAGCAACTTCCTCCATTTCCAGCCTGCTGCCCAGCGCGGGAAGGACCTCATAGACTTGGCCACTTTCAGGCCTCACCCAACCGCCAGTGCGTGTTTGGTGGTGATGTGTTTGCCCCCCTTGGTACCTGGGAAGGGACTACGGTAGTGGTGACCTGTTAAAACAGAATAGACTCGGGGCTGTAGTCTGAGAAAAGGCATGGAGAGGCTGGGTTCCTTGTCCAAGGTCATATGGTTGGTAAAAGTTGAAGCCAGCGCTTGATTAGGCCATTTCAACTGCTATGTTATGTGTATGAAAATTGAATAGGAACGAGCCTTGCCATCAAGATGCTGATCTTACTTGCAGTTAAGTGGAGGGAAGTAAAAAGGCCATACTTTAGATATGATATAAAATTTCCTGGCAACCTAAATTTCATTTGTGGCATTTTTTTTCTGAGAGAAAATATGCTCCAAATTCGAAGTATATATATAGACACTCGTTAAAATGATTTTAAAACTTGGAGTCTGCTTGGAAAACATGCCTATTAACATCAACTGTGCTCTTGTGGTTTTCCTTCTCTGAGAAGGCAGAAGAGTGAGGAGGAGAGGACAGCGTGCTTCTGTTAGGCCTCTAGTCTCTGCTTTAGTTTGTGTTAACAAGTAGTCCTGGGCGAGAGTGTAGGCTGGTGGGTGGCGAAGCATGTGTCTCTGCCGAGGGCACATTCAGACAGGAGTGTGTTAGATTTGTTTTTTTATATAATCATTTATTTGCCTTTCCTCTTCTCTCCTAAAACTTGGTCCGAAGGTTACAGTGTTTGTGATTCTAGATATATGGCTTCAGGAATAGTAAAGATCAAAATGCCAGGGTTCCTTTTAAGCAAATGTAGACAATTGGGATTGAGGAAGAGCTATTCAGCCTATATCTAAATTTCAGCTCCTGACATTGAATTAGATTAAATGATTCCTAGAAGGCATGTCTTCCTTTTATTCAAATCAGAGAAGTGACTAAGACTTCTTGGGTCTTAATCCTGGCTTCTGCACAACCACAACCTCTCCAACCTTTGTGCAGAATGAGTGCTTAAGAAATCACTGAGCTCCAGCTGGTTTTGTGGCAAATGTAAGGGCAAGACTTTGATGATAACTAACCACAGAACAAGAAGTGGTGCTGGCTTTGCTCAGACCTTTGACTCACCCTGTTGTCTTTGGAGGTGGACACCGCCCAGATGAAGAGGAAGAGGAGGAGGTCTTGATTGGATGGCAGGAGAAGCTCTTTAGCCAGGTGAGCCAGTGTCACTTGTCTGCTCAGTCTACCTCCACCTGGTCTGCCTCCACCTGCCTGGTGGCAGGGATAGATTCTTGATACAGACTGACAGACTGATTTCCAGAAAGCTTGTAGCTGGGGCAGTGTAGCATAGCAACTGCCATTACCCAGTTTTATGGTCCTTTTCACCTCTGTTCCACATGTCATCAGTAACATCAGAGTTGGATTAGACCATCACTCTGGTTCCTTTGAACTCTTACATCCTTTGGGTGCCCTGCCCTCCATTAGTTTAGACAAATGAAAATGGGCTACGACAACATGGTGGATTGTATAAGCCCCATAGAACTGTTTTCATTAAACAGTTATAGGAACAAAAGTTTGACAGAGTCTCGGTAGATCTCTTTCCTTGTGACCTCAGTTTGAAGTAGATCTGTACCAAAATGAAGCAGCCTGCCAGAGCCCTCTGGATCATCAGTACCGTCAGGAGATCCTAAAGCTGGAGGATACAGGAAGAAGGAAGAACCGACGAATCTTCACCTACACGGACTCTGATAGATACACCAACTTGGAGGAGGTATTGTTGTTTCCAAGGTCCCATAGCTACCTTCTCCTTTGCCTCCCTGAGCTTTCTGGCCTCACTGGGTTCTGGGTGTTAAATCAGGAGCCAATTAAGGGGTGACAGAGAGCCAGTCTATGATCTGACTTGTGCTGCTGGCAGCCAAGCTGGAGTAGTGTGGGCAGAGTCTACAGGTGGTGTGGTTTCATCCCTTCTTCACCCGCTGGGGGGCCGGCGGGAGCTGGCAACGTCTCTGAGGATAGGCTTGCAGGCTGCAAACCCAGAGAAGTGGCCGCTGCACTCTGCTTCGTCCCTGCGTCATGAGATAAGATGGGTGGGTGGGGTCTAGAACCACCTAGATCAGCGGTTTTCAACCTTTCTCATCTGATGGCACACATGAACTAATTACCAAAATTCTGCAGCACACCAAAAGATACATTTTTTGCCAATCTGATGAAAAATAAGTATAGTTTTGATTCATTCACACTGGACGGCTATTGTTGTGTTGGCTGTTGTCATATTCTTATTTGACGATCTAAGGGAAAAGAGATCAGAGCCTCCGACTAAACAGTCAGGTACTGTGTGATTTAAAAATTCTTCTACCACACTGGTTGCAAATTGCTGATCTAGATAAAACTGACCAGGGGATTCAGTCAAAACTCTGAGTGTATGGTGTTGAACAGGAATTCAGTTCGGCCAATGGCTTATGTCCTCAGTTTGGTTCAATTATCCCGGCACACCCTGATGGACTTGTTTAACATTTTCTTCAGTTACTGCCTGATACTGTTTTCTCAGAGATTTTAAACTATTTAAGGGAGGATAGAGGCACTATTTCATGATTTTTATCTATAACCTTGTAGATCTCTCCAAGGAATAGTTGTTAAGTGCAAGTTTTTGAAATACTGATGCTTTTATTAAGAAAGCTATAGGTTCGCATCATACACAATTTGGGTTGTCTGTTTGGGAAAAGTGAGTAAAATTATAGTTAGTGCTTAGTTCCCATGTGTGGATTTCCCACAGAACACTTCTGCCCCGTGTGGCATCCTCCAACTACCTGGTTAATGTCAACATCTACCAGGAAACTCCCCCAACCTTTTGTTGGTATGTGCTCAGGAATTGCAGCTCTTTCAACATTAGCATCAGTAGATGCATCTCTGAAGGTTGATGTGCTGCTGAAAGCTTAGGGCAAAGTAAGGCAAGGAATCTTTGGCTTGTTTGTGCTACTGCTCCCCTCCATTCCCATGTATATGGTGAGGTGTGATTTTAGGTTGGGTCCTGGATGAGGCTTCAGAAGGAAGACTTCCCTTTGGGTACTGGTCCCATGTGGCCCTGGCCAACTGGGTCCCACAAGGCTGCTCTCTTTTCCCAGCACTGTCAGAAAATGACCACTGCGGCCAGGGAGGTGCCATCATTCCTGGTCGAGCGAATGGCAAATGTCAGGCGGCGCCGGCAGGACAGGCGAGGGATGTGAGTGCACGGGGACTGTGGGGGGCCCATCGTTCTCGGTATGTCCACCAGTTAGAGCTCCCCATTCTGCAACAGACCTCCACATGGGCGAGCTCCCCTGTGCCCCTCCTTCAGGCTCTTCAGCGGGTGCCAGGGAAATGACCCTTCCTGTGGTGTCTCCCAGGGAGGGCGGCATCCTCAAGTCACGAATTGTCACCTGGGAACCCTCAGAAGAATTCATCAGGAGCAACCATGTCATCAACACCCCTCTTCAGACCATGTACATCATGGCAGACCTGGGGCCCTATGGCAAGTGAGTAAAGCTCCCGCTGCCCAGCCCAGGTCCTGGTCCACGTCCCCTCTCACTAGCGATGAGCTGTCTGCTGCAGTCATTCTGGGGTATGTGGGAGGGAAGGATTTTCCCCCTTTTTATTTTTCTTGGAAAAAAGTTTTATGCGGTAATTCTCACTACAGCCTCTGTCCTCTCCCCTGACATGGTCCGACCACATCTTCCTCCTTCCCTGGACGTGTGGCCAGTGATCCTGAACCTTGTGGATTTCCTGGTTTCTAGGCTCGGCTATAAGAATTATGAACATGTCCTCTGTACTCTGAAGGTGGACAGCAATGGTGTGATCACAGTAAAACCTGACTTCACTGGTCTCAAAGGACCCTACAGGTGAGGAGAGAACAAAAGGGGTGGTAGAGCCTGGCATTTTCCCCCTTGGCTTCTCTTCTTGCCCCCAGTTGAGATGTGCAGAAAGCCCCTCATCTGTTGCGGCTGTTCATGTTCTGTTCTGGGTCATTGACCCCTTGGATACTGGGAATCTGTTCTCAGAACGTGTATCACTACACCTATTTGAAAATGATAACTTCAGCTGTATAGTGAAGTGAAAATAATTCTCTGTGCTGCTGAATATAGGGACTAACCAGAACAGGGTGAGATAAACTCAGCTAGGTCTTTTCCTCTGGGCTAATTGCTCTTTAGCTCTATGTCCTGGAATAACAGAACTATTAATTAGAAATCACCTAGCCCCTCCTGTGCGTTTCTTAGGTGAGAGGACTGGGTGCCAGGGATGTCCTGGCCCCGTCTCTTGTCATTAGAGTCGGTCCCTCTGTGGCTTTGACCTTACAGAATTGAGACCGAGGGGGAGAAGCAGGAGCTGTGGAAGTACACCATCGACAATGTGTCCTCCCTCGCGCAGCCGGAGGAGGAGGAGCGGGAACAGCGTGTGTTCAAGGATGTAAGAGCTAATTCCTTCCGAGCACCGAAGGGGTGAGCCTTGGCGCCGGGGGCTGAGACCTTGTCCGAGGTTGATGTCCATAATTGCACGGGCTGCTCTTCGTGGCTCTCACCTGACTCAGGAAGCATTGCTGACATATCAGAGCCACGTTTTTTATCACATTAGACATCATCGCCATCATCATAACGGCCATTTCTTTGAGCCATGTTCTGGGCTAGCTGTTTCCCGTACTTTATTTCCTTTAGACTGTACGATAGCTCTTTGAGGTAAATACTTTTATTGCTACCATTTGTAAATGAGGAAACTAAGACTGAGAAGCTAAGCAGTCTGCCCAAGGCCACGTAGCTTGTACGTGTGAGAACCAGGATTTGGTCCCAGGCCAGTGGATTGTGCAACCCCTGGGCTTCACTTTAAAATGTCAGTGGCTGGGATGCTTAGGCCTCCAGTTCTCGGTGGCATTTCCCATGAGGGCTCTTTCCCTCCCGTTCAGAACTGAACCCTGGTCCGGCTTGGGTCACATCTTGGGCTGGGTTTGGGTTTCTTCCCCAGCTCTATGGCCGGCACAAGGAGTACCTCAGCAGCCTGGTGGGCACCGACTTCGAGATGGTGAGTCCTTGGCTGCCTGCAGCACTGTGACTGGGTTCAGCTGGAGGCCGACTGGCTGTCATCGTGCCTCTCCTCAGGGTCCCCAAGATACACTCTGCCATGTCAAAAGGAAGTAAAAAAATAGCATAAGGGGCAGAGTCCTTGTTAGTGTTTTTAAAACACTTCATATTGATGTAGAACTGTTGACACAGAGAGAAAGGCCTTAAAGGGCACACACCTGCTGGGTTGGGCTGTTCTGGGGAGAGGCGGGGTGGGGGATGGTAGGCAAACACTGGTTGGTGAGGGGACGTAGCAGGGTGTTTGCTTTTTATTCCTTAAATGTATGTAGTTTTTAATTTTTTCAGTGGTAATGCGCTCAGTATTACTTTATAATGAATTTAAAAGTAAATATAAAGAAAAATGCCTTCCTCACTTCATGTGGATATTTCCCCTGAGAGCCCCATAGAGAGGGAAGGGGTGTCATCTCTATTTGTTAAACAGTTTGGCCCTTTAAAAACAAAACCGTGTAGGTCCAGTATTTTACGTCATGTTTGTCGTGTCCCCACATCCTAGGAATCCCATTTGTAGATCTGCAAACAAGGATGGAAAGGGAGAACAAGGCGCAGGTTTCCCTCTCTAAGAAATTAACGTTCACTATTTTGCTACTGCTTTATCAGCAGATGGTCAATGTTAAAAGGTAGATAAGACAGCTACACAAATCGCTAGAAGGGGGAACTCACTAGCGGCCCGACCTCAGCCGTCTGAAGGGGGCAGGGGCCTCCGCCTCCCCGCACACAGGGCAGCACAGCTGCCTGGCTTCCCTTGGCCAGTCCTCCGAATTTCCCATACCGTGTCGCCCTCCCCACCATTTAAATTATGTGCTTCCTTCCTCCCTGTGACAGATTTCAGGTATGTTAGGAAACGGCTGTGTGAAGTGGCGGGGTGGGGAGGAATGGTGTCAGGGACGCACGGAATCCGACACGCAGTGTCAGGTCCTCCGCAGACGGGCCAGAGGCGCTGGTGCCTCCGCACCTCCTGACCTGCCCCGCTTCTCTCTGCCCTAGACTGTCCCCGGCGCCTTCCGGCTCTTTGTGAATGGAGAGGTAGGTAAGTGTCTTGCCAGAGATGACAGAGATCTCTTAATCTCGGTCATGGGCCCCAGTGGAGTGTGACATGATCCACCTGGCCCCCTGGAGGCCTTGGGTCGTCTGCGGTACTTGGAAAACTCGGCCACAAGCCTTTCCTGGAAACACAAGAGAGTTCCTGGCCCTGGAGGGACTTCTTTCCAGAAGGGTACAGACCCCTTGGGCCTGGGCGGGTGCCATGGGCGGTGGGAGACGAAGCTGAAAACAGGTTCCTGTGTTCTTAGTTTCAGCCCAGGGCTACGAGTATGACAATCTCTACGTCCACTTCTTTGTGGAGTTACCAGCTACTAGTAAGTAACGATCATGAGTCGCCTTTCTTATTCCCATTCTGAGAGTTTTCTATAGGCCTCTGGTCAGGCTTCCTTTCCTGCTCCTGCATGAAAACCATCATTGTTCAAGGTCATAGGTCATTTCCAGGTTGTCAAATCCGTGGTTACTTCTCTGCTGTCACCTTACTTGACCTCTCAGGAGCACTTGACAAGGCTCCCTTCTTCTCGCTGAAACTCTTCTCTTGGCTCCTGGCTCCATGCTTCTCACGAGAGAAAAGAGAAGCAGGGTTAGTGGGTCATCAGCCTCCTTGGCTGATGAGAAACAGAGATGGCTCCTGACCTTCTGTTAACCTCGAACTATTCAAGTGTCCAAGGCTGGGCCTTTGGAAATAGTTATTTCTTTTCTTTTTGTTTTTAAATTTTTCACATATATTTTATTGATTATGCTATTACAGTTGTCCCATTTTCCCCCTTCATTCCCCTCCACCCTGCACACCCTTCCCCACCCACATTCCCCACCTTTAGTTCATGTCCATGTATCATATCTATAAGTTCTTTAGCTTCTACATTTCCCATACTATTCTTGCCCTCTCCCCATCTATTTTCTACCTACCATCTATGCTACTTATTTTCTGTACCTTCTCCCCCCTTCTCCTTCTCCCACTCCCCTGTTGCTAACCCTCCATGTGATCTCCATTTCTGTGGTCCTGTTCCTGTTCTAGTTGTTTGCTTAATTTGTTTTTGTTTTTTAGGTATGGCTGTTAATCATTGTGAGTTTGCTATCATTTTACTATACATGTTTTTTTATCTTCGTTCTCTTAAATGAGTCCCTTTAACATCTCTTCTAATAAGGGCTTGGTGATGATGAACTTCTTTAACTTGACCCTATCTGAGAAGCACTTTATCTGCCCTTCCATTCTACATGAAAGCTTTGGTGGATAGAGCAGTCTTGGATGTAGGTCCTTGCCTTCCATGACTTGGAATACTTCTTTTCATCCCCTTCTTGCCTGCTAGGTCTCTTTTGAGAAGTCAGCTGACAGTTGTATGGGAACTCCTTTGTAGGTAACTGTCTTCTTTTCTCTTGCCACTTTTAATATTCTCTCCTTATCTTTCACCTTGGATAATGTAATTATGATGTGCCTTGGTATGTTCCTCCTTGGGCCCAACTTTTTTGGGACTCTCTGAGCTTCCTGGACTTGCTGGAAGTCTGTTGCCTTTGCCAGATTGGGGAAGTTCTCCTTTATTATTTGTTCAAATAACTTTTCCACTTGTTGCTCTTCCTTGTATCCTACTGGTATCCCTATAATTCAGATGTTGGAATGTTTAAAGATGTTTTAGAGGTTCCTAAGCCTCTCCTTATTTTTTGAATTCTTGTTTCTTCATTCTTTTCTGATTGGATGTTTCTTTCTTCCTTCTGGTCCCCTCCATTGATTTGAGTTCCAGTTTCCTTCCCATCACTATTGGTTTCCTGTACATTTCCCTTTATTTCACTTAGCATAGCCTTCATTTTTTCATCTAATTTGCGACCAAATTGAACCAGTTCTGTGAGCATCCTGATTACCAGTGTTTTGAACTGTGCATCTGATAGGTTGGCTATCTCTTCGTTACTTAGTTGTATTTGTTCTGGAACTTTGATCTGTTCTTTCATTTGGGCCATTATTTTTGTCTCTGTGCGCCTGTTATATAGTGAGGGGTGGAGCCTTAGGTGTTCACCACAGTGAGGAACCCAGTCGTTGGTTTGTGATGCTGTGGGGAAAGAGTCCGAGAGGGAACAATGGCGCTTGCCCCTCTCTCTGTAGGATTTCAGCCACTTCCACCACTTTCCCCAAGCAAACCTTTCTGGTGCTGATTCCCAGGTGGGCGAGTTTGTGTACGTTCTAGGACCCTGTGGGTCCCTCCAATGAACTCGCCTGTGAGGCCGGGAATTTCTCCTGGCACCCCCACCCCCACAAGTGTTTTCAGTCAGTGTTTTGAGGCTTTATTTCCCCACACTGGGACCCTGGGTTGCTCTCTCACCCCAGTTTCGCCTGGTTTATTTGCATGCAAATGTGTGACTGCCTGGTCAGCCAGCTGCCTTGTGTGCCGCGCCCCTCCACAATCCACCACCTTGTTGCATCCGTTGGTCAGCCGCCACAGCCTTGCCACAAGTCCTTTCCACAACCCCTCTCGGCCTGGCCGCCTGACTCAGCCCCTTCCACCCGTGTGGATGAACGTGTCCACTTTAACTCCTTGGTTGTCAGACTTCCATACAGTTCAGTCTTCTGGCAGTTCTGGTTGTTTTTTGTTTCTAAATTGCTGTTGTTCTTATTTTGGTTGTGCAAGGAGGTACTGCGTGTCTACTTACACCTCCATCTTGTCCGGAAGTCAGTTTTTTTCTTTTTAATCCTCACCTGAGGACATTTTTTCATTTGTTTTACACAGAGAAGAAGGGTGAGGCAGGGGAGAGAGAAACATCAATTGGTTGTCTTCTTCTGTCTCCTGACCAGGAAGCAAAGCAGGACTGAGCCTTCTCAGGACCATTTCCTGTGTCTGAAACCCTTTCTGTCATATTTTTGAGTGACTGGTTGTTCTTGAGTTTAGCTTTCAGCCTAAGTGTCACCTCCGAGAGGTCTTCCCTCACCGCTCAATTGAAATGAGCGTCCAGGCCACTCAGTCCCTTTCCCTTGTTTTTGTTTCAGCATTGCATTGTTCTCCACCTGATGGTCTCTTGTTGGTTTGTCCGTCTCCCTCCCGTGGGAATGTCGGGTCCCTGAGAGACAGGGATCCTTTCTATCTGGTCACCAAGATGTCCCCAGTGCCTGTCACAGCACTGAGCAGGCACTCAGTAAAAGTGAAATGAGTGACTGTGAGAATGAGTGCATGAAGGAGCTGTGTCTGTTTCCCAGCGACTCGCCCTCCTCCCAGGTAAACTTACAGTCCATTGCCTCTGACTTTCAGACTGGTCAAGCCCGGAGTTCCAGCAGCTCTCGGGAATAACACAGACCTGTGCCACCAAGTCCCTGGGAATGGTATGGAAAACGTGGTATGGGAAGGGGTACCGGAAAGGGCACAGGACTCGGACCCTGGGGTGGCCCCTGAAGATGTATCCGGTCGACAGCCACTCCCTCTAGGCAGATTCCAGAGTCAGGTCCAGCCCTTCTGTGGGGCTCTGCAGGGCTGCTTAGTCCTGTGGTCCTCTCCCGGCTTTTGTGCAAATGGGGACAGCTGGTAATTGGGTTGCCCTCCCTTTGCCTCAACCTTTTATTTCCCACCTGGGGCGATCATTCTTTTTCCCTTTGTGAAGGTGACCTTGGCTACAGGGAGAATAAATTTTAGGTGCGGCCTTACCTACCCCACAACACTGAGTATAAAATGACACTCTTTTTTAGGACAAAGTGGCCTACTTCTCCTATCCATTCACATTTGAGGCCTCCTTCCTCCATGAGGACGAATCAGCTGGTGGGTAGCTCAGCAGCTGCAGGGTCCCAGGCCTTGGGTCTCCTCAGGCACCGCCCCCTCCTGACGAAGGCTTCCTGTGACCTGGCTGCTTCTCTCACTTGCTCCCAGAGGCTCTCCCAGAGTGGCCTGTGCTCTACTGCAAGGTCCTCTCCCTGGACTTCTGGCAGAGGTACCGTGTGGAAGGCTACGGGGCTGCGGTGCTGCCTACCACCCCAGGTGACCCGTTGTCCCTGCCCTTCCCATGGCCCACATGCCCTGGATCCTAGGAACAAGACTAACACTTCCAAAAGATTCAGCTGCTTCCAGGGAGAAGGAGGGGTAGATAGGAATTAGAAGCATTTAACTCGCAAGAGTCCCTGCTCCTGCTGAGGAATCTCCCCACTTCCTTAGAGACGGCTGAGTGAAAGTGCAGCTAACTGTGAAGCCGAGGGGCCGGAGTGCCTCTGGAACCGCTCTATGCACCTCTGATTTGACCTGCAGCCCAGAGGGAGAGGCTGCTTGGCAGAGTGCGGCAGTGTTTGTTTTAAAATTGAGTGAAAGTGCCACTTCCTGTACTGCGCACCTGGCCTTGTACGAGGTGCTTCTCCTCAATCCTCCCAGCTGCCCTGGGAGGCGCAGGTGGTGTTGCTTCCATGTTATGCGATGAGAATGAGCCTCAGGGAGGTTAGGAAACTTAACCTGGGTGCGCGGGTGGTAGCGGGCAGAGCTGAGAGCGGAATTTCTGTCTGACTAATTTCCAAACGGGCGCCCTAAATAAACCCCCACCATGATCATCGTCACCACAGGTCAGACTGTCACCAGAACAGTGTTGCAGTGGCGACTGGGCCAGTGTCAGCGCTGGGGAGCCGGCCAGGCACCGAGTGGCCTTCCTGGCCCTGGCCTCATTTTCCTCATCCTGCACAGGCTCACACATCCTGACAGTCTCCACGTGGAGACCCATGGAGCTTGGCACAGTGGCGGAGCTGAGGAGGTTCTTCCTTGGTGGTTCTCTGGAACTGGAGGACCTGTCCTATGTGCGGATTCCAGGGACCTTCAAGGTGATTTTTGTCTCTGGGGACAGTTTGTGCCAGGAACTTAGGTTCCTGTCTCATCTGTTGAAGGTGGGATCTGAGTTAAGGCCCCTTAACTGTTCATTACTTCATTGTTACATAGCCCCTTCCTGTTGCTTAAGCTGGAAGTCATAGGTGCATTTTGAACCAGGTGCAAATACCTGCACTGCTGTCCTAGCAGATCTCTGGAAAATTGCGTACTTGAGATTTCCCTTGGTTCCCATCAGAATAACCCACCCCTCTTCCCAGCCCATCCCTGAGGCCTTGATAGCCGAGGTGGGGACAATCAGCAGGGCTTCTTCTCATTGAGACTGGAATGTTCTCCTTTCAGGCCCGGAGCCCAGGGTAGCCTTGAGGTGATGGAGTCTGGGTGAGGGAATGAGGTTTCCCCAACAGAACCCGTTTCCCTAAGAATGGGAATAGCATTGAGAGTGAGGCCAGTGTGGTGCCTGGGGTCCCAGGAAACCAGAAAACGGTGCAGAAACCTGATGCTGTCCAACCCTACGCCACAGGGGGAGCGTCTGAGCCGCTTTGGGCTCCGAACAGAGACCACAGGTAGCGTCACCTTCCGCCTGCACTGTCTGCAGCAGTCCAGGTGAGTGACCCTGGACCTCTGCCTTGGGGCTTCTTATCCCTGGGGGCTGGAGAATAGCCTTGGCCATGTGGCACACTCCCCTTCAGGGCCTTCATGGAGTCCAGTTCCCTCCGGAAAAGGATGCGGAGTGTGTTGGACCGTCTGGAAGGATTCAGCCAGCAGAGTTCTGTTCACAATGTGCTGGGTAGGTTCCCCTTCCCCCAAGTTGGCCACTTGGGGTCACCATGGGCCACACTCCTCCCCCCACACCATGGCAGCTGACTCCTGTATTTGCTCCATCACAGAGGCCTTCCGTCGCGCCCGGCGCCGTATGCAGGAGGCCCGAGGAAGCCTTCCCCAGGACCTAGTGAGCCCCTCGGGAACCGTGGTCTCCTAGTTTACTGCAGCTCTGTCCCTCTGAGCAAGAGGATACGGCGGGCCATAGCCAAGGCCGGTGCTCTCCCACCTCCACACCCTCCTTATTAGAGATGTCATTAGAGATGTACCAATAACCGGAAGAGCTGAGGAAACCCCAGGCCAGCCCCTCTGCCTAGTCTGCCTAGTCTTTCCTAGCCACGTGGCAGGAAAGCCAGAGACCCTGTGGCCCCCATATTCATATTTCAGCCACTACAAGTGGGCATCACGACAAGACAGGGATTCTGCTCCGAGACTAGTTTGGGATAACCCCATAGCTAGTTCCGCCCCCAGCACAGCCTCTTCTCTGGAGCAAATGAGGGCTGCAGGCAGTTTCCAGTGCTTTCTGCTAGCTGGGTAGTGTCCTTTATTGTGTTTTTTATACATAAAAGCTTTTTCTACTGGCTGATGTTCTGTCGGTTATTTCCCTGTTCAGGTCACTGGCATGGCTGAGGTATTCTTAATGTCAGGGCCCCTGGTGTTGCTGCCCTTCCCCCTTTTTGCCTTTTCCTACGCTAGATTGTTCCTTTTGATTCTCTTCACCCAGCCTCCAGGAGAGGCTTAGAGGTTAGTGCCAGCTCATCTTGACAGCAGACCTCTTAAATATTTGCAGCAAAGCTTGGGACTGAGGTCACGCCCTCCCCAACCCAACGCAGAAACCAGCTCCTGCCCTCAGCAGAGTTTTATTGGCAGAAGCAGAGCATGCTACCCAGCCTGCAGGCTCCTGAGGAGGATCATGGGGTGGCTAGAGGCTGGGACTGTGGTCTCCCAGGCATGGGCCGATGCTGGGGATGGGCTGGGAAATACGCTGTAAGAAAGTGGCTGGAAACCCTCCAGGGGACTTCTTGCAGAGGTCTCAAGATCTCGTTTGGCTCCCAAGGTGGGTGGGTTCACTGCTGCTGGGCACCCTGCCTATCACTCCCTGCCAAAGAACCAGCTCTGAGCCGTAACCAGCAAAAGCATCAGCAGGATGTGGTTGCTCCAGGGGGAAAGGTAAACTTGGGGTCTTCCTGAGGTTCCCTGTCTCCAAGGTTGGAGGCCTGGGGTAGAGTCCTGTGGAAGCAGCAGAAGTGGACATGTGAGAAACTTGCTGGACAGCCAGAAATGAAGTTGTTCCAGGGTGTTGATGACTGATCCAAGGCTAGCTGGATCCTTCCTAATCACAGCCCCCCACCCCCGAGTTTGAGGCCCTGAGTGGGATTAACTGTCATCCCAGATGCCAGCACGCTGAGAAGCCACTAGGAACGAGTACACTTGCCCCTGGTGACAAGCTCAGTTGCCCCTGCTCAGAGGTCTAAGCAGAGTTGGCCGTTCCATGTGGGGAAGGAAGTGAGGACCTGACCCAGCCCAGGGCTTTTGGGGGAGGGCCTGCCCTTACCTGCAGAAGCCTCATCTGCGTCGCCAGGCTGACAGGTTCAACCTGGGGATTCTGCTGCAGTCCACAAAGTTCTGGGGGTAGGTGTTGGCCCTGAAGATGTGCCTCGGAACAGAGGTGATGCCAGTATTGTCGCACACAATTCGAGACAAGGAAATCTTCCTCAGGGCCCTGCGCTGTCTCTTGGTGAAAACACCTCGTTTCTGCCACCAGAACCTTCCAAGACGAGAGATGTGGGTGATGGTGAAAGAGGAATTAATATATATAATGTGCACCTGTTGTGTTTCACGTACTTCGTTTCATTTAATTTTCACAAAATTCCTGCAAAATACCTATTATTCCCATTTTATAAGTAAAGAAACCAGTTCAGTGGTCAAGTAAATGGCCCAGTATTCAATGCACAGTAATGTGTTTGAACCTCGGGCTGTATTTGAACCTAGATAAAGTTCAAATACAAATAAATCAGCTCTTAATCCAAAAGCTGATTGCAGGGAAAGCAGATCCCGCCTTTTCTGCCCATTTCCCAGGATTCTCCAGCCCAGAATAGCAAGGCTGCGAAGTCTCTCTCCTGGGTTAAAGGTGCCCCCGACACAGGCAATGCCAGCCTTCCAGAGTCAGTGGTCTGACTTCCTCGGACCAGGCTCTCCTGGAGCCCCCTGGTCTCAGATCTTGTGAACTTGGAGTCTTTGAATGCTGGCACTTTACTTTCCTGCCCTGAGGGCAGTTTCACTTACCTGTCTCCTGTGCGGGCCCTTCTGAACTGGTTCTCAAAAAGACAAGCCAGAAGGGGCCCCACTCGGGCCCCTGGCAAAAGAGGCTCTGCAATGGCCCCGATCCAGATGTCAATGTTGTCAGGCGTCCCGTACACGTTCAGGAACTTCCTGGCTAAATCCTGGTTCCTCAGCACTCGGCTCAGCTGTGCCAGGTTCCTGGGCTGGGAGAGTCCACAGAACCGCCTCCAAGCGGTGTACCCTGAGGGGGAGGGGGCGGGAGCGGTTTCCATCCTAACCCTACTGTCTTCCCATTACCTTCTGCTGCTTTCCACGTTTCTCCCGAGAGCTCTGTGGAAAGGGCTTGTTGGGCAGAACAGGAGTCTGCGGGCAGAAGAGTCCCTGAACCAAAGACCAGCTGCAAGCGGACAACCATGCTTTGAGTGCATGATGCTTAAGACAGCAGCCAGAACAAAAGAGCCTGTCAATCAGGTTTGTAGAATGAAGAAATAAGTGAGTAAACAAGAAATGAAAAACATGGATAAAGTTTACTCAGAAAAGGGCCACGTGTTATATGATTCTATTATGTAAAGGTCCAGAATAGGTAAATATGTAGAGACAGAAAGTAAGTTAGTGGCTGTCAGGGGTTGGGATGGGAATGGGGAATGACTGTCATGCGGTTTCTTTTGATAAAAATGTTCTGATATTAGAGATGGTGACTGATGACTAAAGTCATTGAATTGTATACTTTCTATGGGTAAATTTTAGATGTTAACTACATCTCAACAAAGCTGTTTTTAAAAGTTTCCACCACTCAGCAATTTCCTAAGACTTGCCATGCTGAATGCCAGCCTATCAGCATCTCACACCAGGATCAGGCCACTTTATGTGCTGGGGCCGTGACTGTGAGATGGCTTTGCCGTAACCTGAAGGGACATGCGGCCGGCAACATCCCTTGAACTACAGCTCTCTAACGCCATCCCCCAGCTGACCAGAGGAAAACCGTATCACGTGTTACCGTTACGAAGCTCCCCTGTGTGAATGTCTGCCTCTCAGGACCCTCGGAACACCTTTTCAATGCCCACTTTATCAACAGGTAGGCACTGAGCTTCAGCAGCCGTGACTTTTTCCAAGCTCACTTTACTATCAAGTGGAGTTCAAACCAGGTCTTCCAATTCCACACTTGGTGTTGGACTTTGGAAGGGATTAGAATAGACTATAAGAGGTAGTATCAGGAGAATATTTCTGGGACGGCTTGCAGGGAACAGGTAGTGGGGGAACAGAAACTGTGTGGCAATTTGAGTGGCTAGCAGTCTCAGTTCTCCAGCAGGGGGCGCCCACAGTTCTTTAGCTGTCAGGACCATGCAAGTGTGATGAAGGAAAGAAACTGGTTCTCATGTGCCTGCCAGTTAGGTGCAGTAGAAATTCCCCCCATGCTGTTATCACACAATCCAAGTCTAGGTGAGGCAGATGGAGCTGCAGGTTGTACATGGGCAGGAAAGTAGAAGGTGGGAAGAGGGACAGAGAAGCAAGGCCATGGCCAAAGCCTTCCCCTAACATTGTCAATTGAACACGGAAAAGAAAGGAGAAATACTGAATTTGATTCAAACTTTTCTACTTAATTGTGTGGCATTGGGCAAATGACTGGCTGTCTGAGCTTATTTCCTGAAAGATTAAATGAGTTAATACCCATGAAAGTTCCTCGCATAGTGCCTAATTTGTCTTCTTTCCTGGAGTCAGGCTTTCCACGTCCTCACCGAACAGCCAGGGCAGCCTTAATTTTACTCCGCTGGTTCCCTGCCTCTCGGGCCCTGCCCTTCTCCACTTGGAGCCAGAGGCCAGTGTCTCTATCCCTGGAACTCGAGCCACATCTCCTTGGAAGTTGCCAAGGTGCTAGGGAATTGAGCATTTCTTCCCTCCTTTTATATCTGTTTCTCTCTACTTGGAAAATCCTTTGTTCATCTACTCAGATCACCTTTGTTCATCTCCCGTGCCCAAATCCTGGTCCTGCCGTAAGCATTAATCTAGAGGCCCTGCAACAGACAGAAAAGATACAGCAGGGCAGCAAAAAGATGGTCCCAGGAACGCCCTACTCTGCCAGCCTTCCTCTTGCACATTCTGTAGACCGCCCCAGTCAAAAAGAGGCCCGAGGGGTCTTCTCTGAAACCCTTCCCTACCAGCAGCAGCAGCCCTGGTCCAAGCAAAGCCTGGGAGAAGGGGTGGCGGCCCCCTCACCTGGGAGGCCGTGGTCCCGGCTGCGTTGCATGTTGAGAGCCGCCAGGTCCAGCCCGATTCTTCTCACTTGCTTGAACAGCCGGTCCCGGAGCTCATCCACTAACATGGAATCCTGCTGGTTCAGCTTGGCTGGGGTGGCCATGAGGCCTCTGATGATGGGGTCGATGCCACCTGGTGGCAGGAAATGTGAGCGGCACAGATCGCACCAGCTTCTGAGAAGCCCCTGAGTCATCATGGGGTGGGAAAGTAGCTCAGAGCTGGATAAGCCAGTCATTTATATTCTGTGATGATTATTTCAGAAAGCAGAAGCCTGGGTGGACATGAAGAGAGTGGGGCAGGCAGGGAAAGGGGTAGCCCCTACTTCTTAAAGGAGTGGAGGGCAAGCTTCTTTCAGGCCCACAAGCCACCAGTCTGACGTCAGTCTCCTCCCCTTTTAGGAATCCCGAATCTTATGGTGGATGGGGGGCCTGTGACTGAGGGTCTTGGTGGTACCTGCCTTGTTTTCACTGTCCTGGGGAGATGGTTAGCAGTGGCCTGAGCAGCAGCCTTGCCTCCTGGCAGTAAGCTTGGCCCACCCAGGGGAAGGTCCCTCCCCAACCCCACTCCCATCTGCCTCTGGAAAACCTGGTTACCTTCATGCACAACTCGCCAGCTGGCAAAGAAGACGGAGCTGAGCGGAACACGTGAGTTGGGTGCCGAGGCCCGGAACTGGCTGTCTAAGCGGAACATGAAGGGCTGGAGCATGGTGTGCCCGAAGCGGAAGGCCAGGGTGAAGACATTGGCCACACGAGGGTCCACATTGGAGCAATACCCCCGGTAAGGCCCCAGGGTTCTCCTGGCCCGGGCCCTGCCCAGAACTAAGGGAAGATAGTCTCGGTAGGTGATGATCTAGAAAAGAAGGCATTGGAAGACGTTACCTTAGAGGCTGCCTGCCACTCTCCCTTCCCGTTGGACAGACATTTGGCTTTTCGAAGGGCTGCTCAGACATATTCATTCTCGAATGTCATCATGCCAAAAGTAGCTTTAATTTCCTATCGGCTGAAGGAGGTAACTGAAGCCCAGCAAAGCTGAATGACAGGGACAGGCTCACACAGTGAGTCAGCGGCAGAATTGGGGGTGGGCATCAGGTCTGAGGCGCACGCACCATCACTCAGACCTGACTTGCTTGAGGCACAGCCCTGAGGGTGTGAAGGAAGGTGGGAGCCACTTTTTCAGATTGCTTCTCATGCCAGATTTTCTTCTAGTACATGCTGGGACCCAGGGCCCCCTACCTGGACCATGGCCCCCACAATCTTCCGAGCCTCCTGGTATAACTTGTCTCCGGTCCACCGAGGATTCAGGCGTCTCAGCTCGGTCGCCAGCCGGTTGTGCTCTCGCATAAAGAGGGTATGCATGGCTGCCAGTTTGGGAGTTTCGCTTGATCGAGAGTCACCTTGAAAACCCCAAGTTCAAAGTCACCATAGCTCTTCCAGAGAAATATCTTTCTGCTAGGGCAGACAGAATTCTAGAGACCAGAGAAAGGTGGCGGGACTTCCTGACCTGGGCCAAGCTCCTGGCCCTCGCTGGACCTCCATCTCCTCAGTTGTACCGTGAGCCTGCTCACTGACCGCCACCCTCTTCCCCAATACAACAGGCCAGGAGGGGGAGGACAGCGGGGTCCTAGATCACTAAGGGACTGCAACTGGTTTCGGTGAGGTGGGAAAACAAAGCACAAGGCAACTGCCAGTCTTGGGCAGGAAAATCTTTGCCTAGTGCTTCTGCTGCACCAGATGACCAGTCCACAGCTGGGGGAGAGAACTGGATGGCTCTGGGAACCTTGACTTGGGGACCACGAGCCTGCCTGTCTTAAGAACTACATCCATCTGCACATTCCCTACCCAGGGCTGGGTCTTTCCCCCGCTTTGGACTTGCTGTCATGCAAGAGGGAGGGCCGGGCAGAGCCTCTTCCTGTAGCCAGACCCTATCCTAGAGGCCAGGGAGCAAAGTGTATTCCTGGAGGTGGGCCTTACCACAGTTATTTGCTGGCTTTGTACTAAACCCTTTTGCATAAAGTCTTATTTCATCCACTCTTCAGTAGACTTCTCACAAAGATTTTTTCCAAAACCCTTAGAAAGGAGGGCTGGAACCAACCCCCCCGCCCCCTGCAAAGAAGTGGTGGAGGAGTGGAAAGAGCAGAGGCCTGGACTCCCCCCTGCCCCGAGTCCCCACTGTGGGCTCTGCCACCGGAACTCTGCTCTGGAGCCCGTTGGCCATCCTCCCTGCGCCTGTCTCTCATCTGGCAGATGAGGGGGATAATAGTGGCCCTCCTGTCAGGGATGCCGTAAGGATTAGAGACGGCACATTTAAACATCTTAAATCACTAGAAACAATGCCCATTATCCCAACCAGCACAACCAGCACACGGGGCAAAGAGCCCAAGGAGAGTTCAAATTACGCGTCCAGAAGAAGGTACTAGGTAACAGTGTCCAGCGACAGTGGGATGAGGGGTGGGGGGGGGATTGAAAACCTAAGGGAATGTAGCCCGGAGAAGGGAAACATGTAGGTGGAAATAAAGCTAAGTAAGAGGCCATTACTGACAGAAAGACCACTTTTCTGAAGTTCCAGAAACATGATGAAGAGCAATAGGTGGATACTGGATCAAGACTGGGGGATCTTTCCAACACTCAGCCCTGCTGGAGACAAACAGGCGTTTGCAAAGGGCCCGTGGCAACTATATGCGGGTCTGTGCTAAGGTGTGCCTAATGCTGAGGTCTGTAGACAGGCACCCCCACCGCACCCCACCAGGCCTCCCAGCCCCGAACCCAGGGACTGGCAGCCCTAGGAAGACACCACCTTTTCCCCCATCTGACCTGCCAGGAAGCAGGGGATGCGTGCAGAGCGGTTAGTGAGGAGGCAGGGGTCATCATGCAGGTTGTCGAAAGGCAGCAGGGCCCTGCGGTTGTCAGTGAAGCGCTGGTTGATGGCCAGTAGCCCGTGGAAGTTGGTCCTGTTGCGGAGGCGCAGGGCGAGGGTGACCTCGCTGCCGTACACCATGCTGGCGTCCAAGAAGGAGGTGAGGGAGTTGAGCTGGTTTCGAACGACGTTCTTCCTGGGGCATGAGGGTGCCGAGCGGGAGAAGGGGATGCAGTCTCTCTGGTTCTTGATTCGGGGGTCGTTGGGCGGAATCTGAGGTGGAAGAGGAGCCAGTGGCACTGGGGCCCCTAGAGAGCAAGCTCACACCTCTTGGTGATCCCACATCTGCTTCAAAACCTTGCTCAAAACTCCCCTCTTTCAGGAAGCCCTCCTTCCCTGACTCATCCAGACTCACACTGCTCACCAAGTCAGTGTGAATGTCCTTAGTATCATGGAGTCTTGAGACTTTAGAAATAGATGAAGTTAACGGAATTAACTTCACTGCCAGAAGAAATGGAATTAAGTCCTCATTTTCCTCTCTGGGAAACTGAGGCTCAGAGGTGGGAAGTGAGAGCGAGTTAGCAGAAGGAGGATTGAAACCTAGTTCTCCTGACATTTAGGTCTTGCGCCTTTCATTCCATTCAATTCACCAGACACTTCCTAAATGCCTTTCTGGGCTGGGTGGTTTGGAGATAGGAAGATCAACAAAGCCCAGTACCGGCTGCAGGAAGCTGGCAATTCAGTTGAAAACAGACACACAGAGAGAATGTAACTCTAAATTGCTGTGCCATTTGCTATGCTTGATCTAAAAGCCAAAAGTGAAAGGCGATATAGGGAGATACGAGAAGGCTCCGCAGAGGAGATGCCCCTGAACCAGAGCTTGAAGAATGGGGCAAGTTGCGACAGGGAGGGGCCAGCCAGCGGTCCTCACCCATACCACGGCCCAGGGATTCCGCCTGGCCTCTTAAGGGAGGGTGAAGGTGTGAGGGGCTGCTGCACTTGGGTGTGTGCACGTGTGCCCCCCTTGTCCCAGCATCTTATCTTCTCTCGTGTTCCACAGCCCCTTGCTTCTCTGCCTGAAGGAGGGCACCCTGCTCACATCCCAATCCCGGGAGCTGGTAGGAGTTTCAGGGCCCTTGGACCACCCCAGGAAGGAGAGAAGGGTAAGAGCTGAGAGACCCTCAAGGCTTCCAAAACCAGCAGCCCGGAGGCTTCCCCTCTTGGGATCAGACCTATGGGTCAAAGCCAGTCTCACTTGCTTTCCCTTCCATGAAGCCTGCCCTGAATCTTCTGGAAGGTTGCCCCATCCCCATTCCCCCCCACCCCCACAGAACTGGAGTGTGCTGGGCTGTGCCTGATCCTTTAGCATCCCAGGCAGCTCCTTAAGGATGGGACTTAAGTCTTCCAGATCCACCCCCACCCCCTGCTCTTGGCTGGGATGGAGACCAGGGACCTGGGAGGCCGGCTGAGGATACCTTGATGGGGAAGCAGGGTGGCAGCTGGGCACAGGTCTTCTCACAGTCAACACCTGCAGTGAAGGCCACTCGGGCTGGGGACTCAGGGACAAAGTCCAAGTCGTGGTCAATGAACTGGCCCCACTGCATGAACATGAGCGCCCGGCCCCGGTCGGAGGCCAGCCTCTCCCTGGGGAAGCGCACGATCTGGTTGGAGACTGCCCGGACCTGGTGGGAAAACAGGTGAGTGTGGGGGGGTGGGCTCCCGGACCCCAAAAAGTGGGGGAGAAAACCCGGGACTCAAGGCAGCAGGTTGCCCCTGCTGGAGTTCACAGAGTCCTCCTCCCAACCTGCTCTCCCCTGTCCTGTCCTACTTTGTCCCAGCCTCTCTGTGGCTGTCGTTACTAGAAGGGTGGTCTCTGGCCTGGCTCCCTAGGAGCCCGGGGGTGGGGGGGGAGAGGTCAGGTCGGCTGGCTCAGACCCCACCAGCATGTCCAAAGAGGTTTATTACATCAGATCGATAGATCAATTTATAAAGTAATGGATAACTGGATGATAGCATTGATCGATTGATGCATGGACTGGTTGCTAGGTAATGGATAATACATATGGAGAGAATGGATAGATCAATGGAAGAACAATTAATAGATACATGTTGATAGATTGTTATATTGAGATGAACAGAAAACGGATAAATAAATAAATGTGAAATAGTGGAGATCAGTAGATATAGCTGGGTTAAAATGTATATCCTTTATACAGGAGTGGGCAAAGGTAGGTTTACAGTTGTAAAGATGTAAAACTGAACATTTATTCTTGCATTATTTAGTAATTAATGTATTATTTATAGTACAGCGGTAAACCTACTTTTGCCCACCCCTGTATTTAGCAAGATACTTTGATGGTAATTCTTTCAGAAGAAAATACTCTGTAATAGAGTATATCCTATATAGACGTCTGTTTAATATTTGCTTAATATTCATACCAGCAGCGTGAGGCAGGCTTCGCTGCTGTTTTACAGAGAATCAAACCGAGACTCAGCTGTATTACTACCTGCCCAAAGGCAGCCAGCCAGCTGGAGGAAGAGCCTGGGTTCCAGTCCTCTCTGGCCGACTCTGGGCTCTGCTCTTAACAAACCCCCCACCTCTGAGTTGCACAGAGATCGAGCACCTTGGGGGTCCTCGGCCCTGACTCACCAGAGGGAGGAGGAAGCCATTGCGCCTCTTGCCCGGGGTCCAGCCGAAGGGGAGTGACAGCCCGTCCTCGTACTGAGCTGGCAGCCAGCGAGCCAGGGCAGTGTTGGAGGCCCCCAGCCAAGGTCTCCTCCTGCAGCAGCGGGTGGGCTCAGGTCGGCGGGGTTGCAGACCTGGAGACCACCCCGAGCACAGGGGCGTGGCGAGGGGAGGAAGGTGCCCCCAGGTCAGGTGCAGCCCATGGCTCCCACCTGTTGTTGCACCTCCCGGTGATGGTGCGATAGTCGTTTCTGCACTTCTCCTCCTCCTCCTCCTGGACAGCACAGCCACTGGCCTTGGACAGCAGCCGCAGCTGGGATTCTGTTAGCACATCTGGGGGTGGGGCAGGCAGACAGGGTCTGGGGTCGAGGGTCCTAGCTCCTGCCTGGGCTGGTCTGTTCTGTACCTCCCGTCCCTTTGCCCTCTCCCCTCCCAAGGCTGCACACCCCACATCCCCCTCCTGGCTCCCTTCCACTCCCAGGGCAGCCCTGGGGGGTCAGTGGGGACCATGGTACCAGTAATATTGAAGGAGCTAGACCCCTGGACTTGTAACTTCTCCTCCAGCAGCCCCAAGGCCATGTGCATATAATCGGCCGCCTGCACAATTGTCCTGGTGGCCGCTACCGGCTGTTTGAAGTAGAACAGGAGGTCCATGGGGCTGGCAGAGCCACTTCGAAGGCGCTGCTTGATGCTGTGCAGAAGAGGAGGAGGGAGGGCTGATCAAAGGAAGCAGACCCACCCAGCAGAGCCCCATCCCAGGTGGTGCACAGTCAGGTCTACACTGGTCAAGTTTACCTGTGTACACTGCTAGATGGAGGGAAGGAAGGCCCGGCCCCCGTGGATCCCAGGGGCAAGACAGGTGAGGTGACCTTGGTTGAAGCCCATCCTTCCTCATTGGCCCTCCCTGGCCCATGCAGACCCCAGACCCAGGCCCACCTCCCCTGAGTCCGGTTGTAGGCAGCATCCACCAGCAGTTTGGCCTCTTTCACGCAGTCCTGAAGGACCGATGTCTCCACTGCCATGGGGGAAGCTGCTCAGAGGGAAGGGGATTCAGAGTCCATGAGAGCCAACCCCTCCCCCACCCCTAGACCCAAGCACTTTCCCCTTCATTGCCCTTCTCCTTAATTGTCCAAGGTTACCTGGGGCAGTGCCCTCACAAAGCTGGGCCAGGATGAGTGTGGCTACGACCCCCGCCAGGGCCAAGAGCAGCTTCATCTCCACAATGAGACCCCCAGCCACAGTGGGGCAACGCACAACACTCATGTCTTACAAAGCGGTGGAGTCTCTTGCTCTCTTCTCACCGGAAGGACCCCAAGCTGACCTTTCCCCTCCTCCTGCTCTTCTTTGGAAGTAGCTGGGAAGGGACTTTTATATCCTGTCCTACAGTGAGGGAGGGGTGTTCTGGGCCCCAGAAGCCCAGCCTCTTGAGGTGGAGCTCTAAACTTCCCTTTTATTTGGGGGGGAGTTATGAGACTGAAACACCTACCCCACCCTGCTCACCAGCCTGGGGACCTTCTTCCCTCCTACCACTTACCGCATTCCCACCCTCTGCTGCTGTGTTCTCTGATCTAGTTCTCCCAGAGCCAGGCTGCTTGGTGAACATTGGCTGGGTGACTGAGGAACAGCATGCTTCCCAGGAGGACTGTGCCTCGTCCTACCACTCACTAGTTGCACGGTCATGCCCTCCCTCCAGACCTCAGTTTCCGCACCCCTCAATGGGATTTGAGCCAGACGGCTGGAAATGCTCCTCTCCTTCCCCAACAGAGCAGAAACCGGGTCTGTCTTACTGTAGTATCTCCCCACACTCCCCCAGCACAAGACCTGGCATTCAGTAGGCACTCAATACATGTTTGTTGGGTGAATTCATGATGTAGGATTAATGATTCAGCTCCTGCCCCTTACTTCCTACCCTTACCAGCTCTCTCCAAGATGCCAGTGGAGGGTGAGGTGATGCTTGAGTCAGTCTGAAAATCAAGGGGGCTACCTCTTGGGACCATGAGGGGGACACAGTGAGATATCACAGAGCAGTGGTAGCAGGCCTCCATGAAAGCTGAGGACCCGCCTTGGGCTTGGTGCTTCTCCATGAATTGAAGTGCTTAGCAATAGTAGGTGTGCACTGAGTAGCAGACGTAAGTTCTGATTTCCTTAGAGAAGGCTTGCTGCAGGGGCTCGGAGCCACCTGGCTTGGATCTGGCTCTGTCACTACCTGTGCGACCTTGGCTAAGCCTTCATTTCTACATCTTAACGCCTTGGTCAGTGTCCCTCAAGGGCCAGGCCCTCTCATACCTTCTTGAATTTCCTCCTGCAGTTCCCTCCTGCAGCTCCCTCCACTGGAGGAGCCCAGCTCAGCCTTTGCTGCACCCCACCCTGGTCTGCCTGGAGAGCCCGTGCCCGTCCCTCCCACACTCAGCTCCAGAATCACCGCTGCTGAGCTCTGCAGCCTGCCTGTCCTTGCCTCTTCCTCAGGTGGCTGTGCCCATCCCTTCCTCTGAGCAGACTCTGTACCTGCTCCAGACTCCCCACAGGGCTGCTCTGAGTGTACTCATCTCCCACCCTCTACTCTCGCTGCCCTGCCCACCCCACACCCTCCACAGCCCATCCTCCCACACCAACACCCTGGCCTGACAGTTGCTCTTGAAATAGCCCCTTCGGCAATCCTTTCACAAACTCCAGTTGAAGGCCTGGGCCCTGATCTTATCTCCTTATCTTCAACAGGGGTCCCTCTCCTGTGACAAGGGGGCCCGGATGGAAAGTCACTGTGGAGTTGCCAGAAGCACGCTTACCCCCATGTGACTCAGGGCAAATCACACTGCTCCCTGGCTTTCAGTTTCCAAGTCTGTGAGATGGGGACAGTGAACCTCCCGAAGGAAAGTTAAAAAATGGCAGCCTACTCCTCAAATGTGCTTAACCTTTTGGACCTCAGGAAGCTGGGTACCCCTGGAAGGCTGGAAGCCAAGGTAGAACATAGGTTGCCCACCGTCCAGGGTACTCTCAAAGAAAACTCAGAGTGAGCTCTGCTTGCCCTCCAAGAGGACTTGTTCTTTAGCAATAGTGAGTTGTGCAAGAGTCTGTCACAACTGTGGGCTGCTGCGGGTTATTGGCACAAGCTTGAGACAGGACCCTGGGCTCTAGACCCTGCCTGCCATGTTGGCCAGTTCCTTGGGTGTTGGCTCGTTGACTGCTCGAGGTGCTGATGAGAGGCAAGCAGATGGGAAGGGACCTCTGAGGTGCCCTGTACAACCAGTCTATGGAGGGCAGGTGCCCCAGGCACAGCAGGGGCAGGATGGCAAGCAGAGATGCAGGCAAGGAGATGGAAGGAAAGAGTTGGTCAGCCACCTGGACTCCTGCCCCTTCAGTCTGCTTTCAGCTGCCCACTCTGCCCCACTGGACCTTGCCCCTATGCTCCAGCCACCTCGACACTCCACACACAACACCCACTCTATCCTCACCCCTTCCCCTCCACTTCTGCTTCCAGGCCTCTGCTGATTCTGCAGGACGCCTCCCTCTGAGAACCACAGTACGTGGCCCCCAGGAGCTTGTTGAGGGCAGCACGGGGAGATGACTAAGAAGGGGCCAGTCCTAGCACCGTCATCCAGTTGATCAGCTCCTCGTCTGCTGAGCCTGCCTCTTCATTATCAAATACAGATCATTGCTATGTGCAACGTAGTCATCATGGCAGTAAATGTAGCATGCAGCATAGGGCCTGGCACAGAGCAGGCACTCAACAATGTTTGTGGCTAAGCCACCACCAGCTCACACAATTCTGAATCCAGATGATTTGAAACTTAGAGCAAAAGCATGTGTCAGAGGGACCCGCTGTGTAACTGAGACTTGACTTCCATGTAGAATACAGTGCTTACTAAAAGGTAAGTAATCAAAGTGCATTCATTCATTTGAAGCTTACAGGTTTGGGGCCTGGCTGGACCACAGAGGTGGGGAAGTCACGCAGAAGAGCTCTTTCTCCGGGAAATGGCAAATCAGATTCCCAGACCAAGCCACAGAGGAAAAAAGATTTGTAATGAGACACATCAAAAAGACCACTTGTGGGGAGAGGAGGAGACAATGCTGCTTGCAAACTGTGAATCAGGGGTGAGCAGAAGGATGGGGGCATCCTAGGGGTTCAGGGCCCTGACCAGCCAGCCCTTCCACAGCTCTCCCTCCCTCCCTGGTGGCTGTAGGACAATGAGGCCCCAGGAGACTGGGTACCACCGGTTTCATGAGCATTGTATCCCCTCTGCTAACACGTCTTGGCCCTCCATGCAGCTTCTCCTAAAGAAAGAAGCCCCAGGCTGGCACAGTCTGGCTCCTGCACCCTCCCCTCTCCAGTCCTTTCTCTAGTCCTCTGCCCTCTAAACCCACTGGCTTTCAGGTCCTGAAATGGGCCTATCCTACCTGCTATGGGTATCAACTATGAAAACTCCTTCCCTTTTATGACTGGTCATTCCTACTGACCCTCCAGGCCCCAACCACAGGGAGCCTTTCCTATCCCAGCCCCACCAGATCCAAGTGGCTGGGTCTTCCTGGTTCTTACTCTTAGAGCTTCTTTCGTAGAACTTAACATTGCTGTAATTACACACGCGTTTCTGTGGTTGGATCTGATGAAGCTTCAGCTCCCTACAAGTCTATGAGTGCCATACAGAAAAGGAGTGTGCCTGTGCCTGTGCCGCTGCTCACTGTAGCCTCAGCACATAACACAGTGCCTGGCAGGGCCTCCACACATATTTGTGGAATGGATGCATCTGCTGTGATCTTGTCTGTCACAGCTCTGGGAGAAGGGGTTGGGTTCATGTCTGTACATCTATGAGGACCTGGTACCTCTGGTCAGGGACATTGTTCACCCTGGGTCAGTGGACGCCTTTGCAGAGACTGGCCCTGCCAGGCTGAGGCCCATACCCAAGACCATGAGGGAGCCTTCCCTCCCTGGTATCTTTCAGCTGCAGTACCCAAGGACCTTCCTTCCCGCCCTCCCTTGGCCATCTCAAAACTCTACATTTTGCAACCACTTTCACAAGAACCGTCTGCCAGCCACAGTAGAGCTGCAGGCCACAGGCCTGATTGGATCTCTTTATCTGCTCAGCCCCAACGGCCCCCATGGAGACAGCTGCAGCAGAGCAGGGCCTAGGGCCTGGTGGGCCTGCTCCTGTTCCAAAGGGCTCTTGGGAATGGGGTCCTTGGACCTATTCTCATGACAAGAACACTGAAGTCTGCAGGGAGAAGGGGCTTAACTCAAACTTCAATACTCTGCCCTGTGTCAGAGTCTGGGGAGGGTCAGAAGCATGTGCACATGTTTGCACGTGTGTATGTATGTGTCCCAGTTCTGAAAACACTCCTGAGAGAGGCAGCTCTGAGTGTTCTGTTTCTAGCAAGGCAGAAAAAACTCACTGTGGAGCGTTGGAGAGCTGGCCTGGGAGCCAAGTACCACTCTGGCAGTTTGACCTTGAGCAAGGGTTTGACCTCTATAATCTGCTAGTAAACTCAGCAATGGGCAGAAATGTTCTGCAGGCAGAAGGGGTCTCTCATGAGCACTGGAAAGATGCTCAGGTTCAGGCTGAGGGGTCAGCTGAGGTTGAGGACCATCCCTCCCCTCTTTCCTGTCTTGTCCTTCTGTGAGAGCTGTGCCTCACCTCCTCCATCACACTGGGAACTTTCAGGGGCAGGGAGTAGGGGCAGGAGGAGGAGGGTGGCCTTGCAGTTAAGGCACACTCTGCTTCAAATCAGTGACTTAATGAGTGAGGGGGCTCAGTGGGGGACATGACCCACTGATCACTGCCTCTTGGGGGGAGTACCCTAACAGAAAATATTAGTTCAATGAATGAATAAAAAGAAGAATGTCAAGACATAACTAATGTTAAGTTCCTTGGATATCATTTAAGGGATGGCCTGATTGTCCCGTGCATGGCAGACATGTTTGGGGGAGTCCATCCACTGGTATCTCCTTCTCTGGGAACAACCCTCACCCACAATCCCTGCTGAAGGGCTGGGCTTGGATGGTCATGCTATGTCACATGAACTACATATCCCTCAGCCACATAGGACACATGGCTCAACCCCAGCCACTCAGATGATTCTTTTGAAACTTTGGAATTTGAACTGTGAAAGACTGAGCTAGCCGACTGTGGAAGGCAGAATGGAAAAGTCAGGGTTTGGGGCTGAAGTTCTCATTTGGGCCACATAACCCGGCTGCATAAGCAGGAAGGTATGGATAGAATAAGGGAGGAGGAGAGACCAGCTGTTCAGCCCTGACAGTTCCATATTTTCACAATACCCAACTCTGCCTTATATCCTTACAATAAACCCCCTCTTTTTATCTAAACTTGTTGG